GTACGTACGTACGTATCTCGCATAACTCAACGAGTAGCCTCAGAACGTTGAAATTTTGTATATAGGACTGCTATAACATGTAGATGTGCACCTCGTATTTTGGTTGCAATCGGCCGCACCAAACGTTTATAAATATATTTATATATATATCCACTCTGTTACCCGGCTCAGTGATCTCAGTTTCTTTACTCGTATATGTTTGTAAATTGTACTACATTTTCTTGCTTTAAAAATGATTGAATTATGTTGTTTTTATCTTCCGGTTAAGGTTTATATGCCTTTAGTAAATCTGTATGCAATATTTTTAGAATTATCAACAATTTTAAGTTGTTTAAGTGCTGCTAAGCCTTTTTTTTTTATGGCGTCCATTGATTGTTTACATTTGAAATAGCAGACTAATGGATTTGTTGCCAATCTTGAGAAACTTAGCTTCGCAACAACAAAGATAACGCCTTCATTTATTATTGCCAATTAAATCATGCTTAATCCTTTCTGGAATTTTTTCGAGGAAATAAGTGCTTAAGATTTACTGCGTAATTTTTAATATAGATATTTTGAGATTTTATGTATTTTTGCCTTCTCGCGAAGTGAGAACTGAATTAATGGAATGAGAAATACTCAATCATCTGTGAAAAAAAAGTTTCTTTTTTGTTTTGTTTGCTTTTAATTTCTTTTATACATCATTCTAGCTTTATTATAGTATTTGAAATAGAACATGTGGCAACGATTAGATAATTTCTATTTTTAAATGATGTAAATTTTGTGCATTATGAGTTATAATATGAACGAAAATATAATACTGTTAAGTGAATCTAGCGCCAGAGTGTCGCTATGGTAAACAAATACTAGAGTGAATTTTAAAGAAGCATGCATTTATTCTATTGTGGTTTATGCGCTGTCGGCGAAGTAGATTAATTCAATCCAATAAGTTTAAATGAAGTGCAAGAAAAAATGCGTATAATTTAATATTCCGTACAAGGAAGTCATATGGTGTACACATCAAATTTTTTCCTTTTATAGTCGCAGGTAAAAGCTTGTCAAAGCTTGTCAGGACTGAATTTTTGCGCCCGCCCGCGTTTTCATACATGTTTCGACAAATTAAGACACACGGTAAAAAAATCTATGACAGCATTTTGTATGTGTGTCCATTTATTTAAATTATAATAAAAAGAATGATTTTGTTTACCTTTTAAGCTATTTTAAAGTGTGACTTTATTATGCTTGTGAGCGGTTTCCTTGAATTTGAAATATTTTGACATTTAAAATATTTAAAAGTTCGTAAACATAAATATATTATTAATACATATACGGTGGTGGCCAAAATTGTGGACACTTTTAGAAATTTTTATGTTTTTGAACTTTGTATGCTTATAGAAAATGTTATATTTCGCAAAATGCAAGCTTGTATATATCATTTTAAAGAGAATTTATTACCGAATTCAATACAAAACACAAAATTTAATTATTTGCAATACAAAAAAAAGTTATATGTACTTTAATATAAATAAAAAACCTAGTTATGAAGTGGTTCGTAATGTCTAGCTTTCCTGCCCAATCACTGTTCTTGTTCTGAGAACCAATCAAATGTTAGTAACTGCCAGTAGAAGTTGACATCATGTTTACCCTTGAAACAATTCATTATTTTGCTTTGTTCTGTAGAAGGAGGACCTGTTTCTTATACACTGCAATTACAAATAGGAATTTTTGTAAAAATTTTTAATATTTAGTCAAGAAGCAATGATATGAAATAAAAGAGTAGATTGGACACCTAGAAAGAGATGTAATATTATTGTGTTACGAGGAAGGGGTCTTTCCTATGCTGAAATTGCAAGACAGGTGGGTGGTTCAGTGACTACATTTAGAGCCCGAAATTTTTGTTTACGATATCAGGAGACAAATTCATTAAAAAACAAAGAAGGAAAAGGCCGAAAAAGGTACACCACATCTATTGATGACAGAAGAATAAGACTATGTCTTCAAGATAGAAAAATGTCATCAGCGGCCATCAGAAGTGATCTGAATGATGCTGGTGTTTCTGTCAGTTCAAGAACAATCAGGAGAATATTAACAGATGTTGGACTGAGAGGTAGAATTCCACGAAAAAAGCCTTATCTTAATTTTCAGCAACGGAAAAAAAAAAAAAAAAAAAAAAAAAAAAAAAAAAAAAAAAAAAAAAAACCAAAAAAAAAAAAAAAAACAAAAAAAAAAAAAAAAAAAAAAAAAAAAAAAAAAAAAAAAAAAAAAAAAAAAAAAAAAAAAAAAACAAAAAAAAAAAAAAAAAAAAAAAAAAAAAAAAAAAAAAAAAAAAAAAAAAAAAAAAAACAAAAAAAAAAAAAAAAAAAAAAAAAAGACTACAGTGGGCAAAGGAACACATTAATTGGACAGATGATCAGTGGTCACAAGTTATATGGAGTGATGAAACTAGATATCGTTATTCGGTAGTGATGGGCGAAAATATGTAAGACGTAGAATAGGAGAAGAGCTGCATCCTGACTGCATTCAAGCAACTGTGAAGAACCCAGTTAATGTTATGATTTGGTCATGCATGACAGCAGATGGTATTGGTCGCCTTCATGTCATCGATGGGACACTGAATGCCAGAAAATACATTGACACTATTCTAGAACTAAACCTTCTACCTTCCATCAGAGATCTCTTTCCCAACAATGCTTCGTTTATTTTTAAGCAGGATTCTGCTCCATGCTTACGGCCAAAATATCGAAAGGGTGGTTTCGTACAGAGAGCATTAAATTGTTGTCATGGCCAGGAAAGAGTCCTGACCTCAATCCTATCGAAAATTTGTGGCACCGTTTGAAAACTCTTGTCCGAATGAGCCGCCCATCAAATAAAAGGGAACTAATTGAGGCTATAATTGTTTCCTGGCATCATGTAATAACGAAAGAAAAGCTTAAAACTCTTGTCAGCTCATGAAACGTCGATGTGAAGCTGTAATTAAAAATAAAGGTTACCCTACTAAGTACTGATAACTCACTGCAATCATCACTATCTAATGTATATCGATAACTATTATCGTTTAAAATTTTTTGTATTGCAAATAATTGAATTTTGTGTTTTGTATTGATTTCAGTAATAAATTCTCTTTAAAATGATAGTTTGCATTTTGTGAAACGTAACGTTTTCTATAAGTATACAAAGTTCAAAAACATAAAAATTCTGAAAAGTGTCCACAATTTTGGTCACCACTGTATATATGGGCTTTTGGTTTGACACAGCTAGACATATCGCAAGACGAATTCTAAGCATCACAGCACTGGGTGAATAGCTTCCTTCAGCGATATGAATTCACTTTCGGACACTTGGTACATATGCCTGGTCGAGTGACCAGTGGTGCGAAGCTACCATCCGTATGATTATTTTGACTGAATGCCTTTAAATCCCACCTAATCACTGCGATATCGGCTGTGCCTTTGCGCGTCGTTGAGATATTTTAGCCGGAGTATACATCTGCCGCGGACGCGTCAGACTACTCTGGCAACGAGTCCTGTTCGACTCGGAGCAATCAAGAGGCCGTTGAGACTACGTGGTTCTAAGCAGATCGACATTCACTTTTTTGTTCAGATTTGTTCAGATCGACATTCACGTTTTTGGTTCAGACTGGAAGAAACTGAAGTGACTGAACATGCATTTCAATTCATGTGTTTCGTCGATGGCATCGACATCTGTAAGTACCAACTGTCCAATGTCATTGCTATGGATGAAACTACCGTGTTTATGAATCAAGGTTTGAGACTACCATTGATCAGAGGGGGTGCCTCTGCAATATACATTCCATTATAGTGCTATTTTTAAGACAGAGAGGAGAAGTCCCCAAATTAAATGAAAAAAGAAAAGAGTTTATAGCCAATTAAAGTTAGAAGTTTGCTTTCGTATTTTTTATCCTGGCTCGGTGAGCTCATTTTTTTATTCTTATGTGTCAGTAGATTGTTTGCTTCAAAAGTGATTGAATTGTGTTGTTCATATGCCCGAGTTAAGATTTTTATGCCTTTAGTTAATCTCCATGCAATAGTTGTCGAATTATCAACAATTTAAAACTGGTGCTAGGTCTAATGAGGCCGCCGCTTGTTTACATATGAAACTCTTATTAGAACAGTGAATTAAGTCCGTTGCACCAACTTCAATGTCACTTTGCCGAAGGGACCAGAAGTTAACTTTCAGTTTTGTGCGCCGAAAATTTTGTCTTCCTGCCCGCTGGCCGAATTGCTTGTTTTTATGTAGAAACTAATTGTTTTAACTGCATTTCGCATTTTATGTATTTTACAAAATTTAATGAAGATGTTTTGAGTTTTTATGTATTTTTACCTTATCGCTAAACGAGAACTGAATTCGTCGAATTAGAAATGTATCTAATGAAATTCAAGAAAATGAGTTTAAACGAAGCACAGCAAAAAAAAGTGTGTAATAGGCCATACAAGGAAGTTATGTGCTGTATCAGGTATTTTTATTACTGATTTAATTGGCAAATAAATGTGCAAAATTTAATAATTCGTGTACTGTGTAAATTCATCAACTCGCTTCATTAACGATTTAATTGACAAGTAAATGTGCAATATTAAAAATCAGTAATCAGTTAAATCAGTAGCTAATTAAATCAGTTGTTTAATTTGACCATTCAGTTATTCATAAAACTATTGCATGTTATGACCTAAAACCATAGAACGTAACATTCTGTGATTCAATTATTTATTTCTGTTTCGATCTTACTTTCATTACTTTTCCATCAATGCTGTGAGTAAAATTTATCCATTTAATTAAAATTAAATGCATTATATCCTGTAAACTACAGAATTGTTGTTTATAAATGAGAAACGCTATCTTCTAAAAACCTTTCATGCATTTTACTTTTACGATTTCTAATTATTATATGTAGATGACCCATCTTAAATTGTTTTTATTAGATGTATTAATTTTGTTCATAAAACTGTAATATTGATTATATGAATTTGACAAGTGACGGTTATCTTTTATCACTGATTATGCAGGTCTACTTACGTACTGGATCTAAGACAAGAATCAAGAGGTTAGTGTCCTGCTATACCAACGGATCCACACCTCTACTGGTGTCGTGTTTCTTTGGCCATTTAGATGTAGTTTTATTTCTTTTGCATAAGTGCCATGCAGATCCGGAACAGGTAATTTTTTAATATAGTTCCTTCTCGGATATTCCGTACGATAAGTGATGAATAATAAATCGTTAATGTATAGTATATGAACATAAAGCGTATTTACATATCGCCTAAAATAGTTACCGTGGAAAAGAAAAATATATGATGAATAAAGGAATAGTCATAAAAATATATAATGAATGAATAATGATAGAAAATATGTAATGAATATATAAAGAAAAAATATTTATATTTTTATTAGACATTTCATGATTTATATGCGTTTTTTATTTAAATTAATCAGATTAAAAAGTGCCGCCCAACTGAAATAGTGGCCAGTGACTGACTGCCATATCGAAGGGCTCGGGTTCAAATCTCGGAGAAGGCATTATAAATGTATAGTGTCTGTGCGGCATGAGGGCCGAAAATCCTCTCTAGAGGGTGGTGGTAGGGGAAAAGAGATTGGGAGACACTCGGACCCGTCCTCCTGGTCCTGGTGTGCTTTTCTAGGTATTTTAACTGTGCATGTTATGTGTATTAACGTATATCGCGATTTACAAGTATTTAGTAAATTGTATATGTTTTGTATTTTAATTGCTTATTGTTAACTAGAAGCGCGTATTGAGATTATATTGCAACTTTACGTGCACATATTTTATATAGCAGGTGTACTGTATTTTGTTGAAGCATATTAAATAATGTATATTGTGTACAAGTATTTCTGTACAGCATAAGAGTGAGGTTTTATGTATCAACAAGTATTTAGTAGTATATGGTATGTGTATATTGCAAGTATACTGCGAACCGTGTATGTAGTATATTATATTTGCTTTGTATAATAATTCCATATTGTTAACTAAAATCGCACAACGAACGAAAATTGCATTTGTACGTACATATACTATATGTAAATAATGTTTTATTTTTTAATTGAAAACTGTATATTGTATAGGTTTTATGCATCAGGCAAGTATTTAACTGTATATGTTGTGTGTATATTGTATGCGTATATTGCACATACATTGCAAATTGCAAGAATTTAGTATATTGTATGTGTTCTGTGTACTTTAATTGTATATTGTTAACCAGAAGCTCATATTGAACGCACATTGCAATGTACGTGCATCTATGGTATATAGCAGTTGTACTGTATTCTATGGAAGTGCATTGTATTTATTGTATATTGTATACATGTCACACATTAAGCTATGTGGTACATTGTATATTGTACCACATAGCGTTAATCTTTCAAAATTACATGGAAACCAATAACTAGAAATGTCAAGGCAAACATTGATTGTATCATATTAAAAATCTAAAAGCTTTCTTAAAGTAATTAAATTTGATAATTAATCGAACGCAAAAACGATTAATTACTGGGAGGAAGGCATGGGGGATTGCTTGAGTCTAGGTAAATAAATAATGCTTGTAGTGAATTGCAAACGTAGTAAAACGACTGTCGTAGTGACACTTGTAAGAATCGTAGTGACTTGTAAACTCTGAATTAGAACTTACTGTCATCATGTTAACTAGCACTGGCTTTACAATATCAGATTCAATTCTGATTGTAAATTGTCATCAATAATAACCTCAATCCCCCTTCGATTAAAATCTTTTAAATTAATTTACAACTTTTAAAATGAATTAGTCGATGCATTATATGCAAGATGTCATAGTTTCTCCCTCTAACTGGGCAACAAATGACCACTGAAATAAATACATTCATCTGTCGACTCTTCCCCTGTTGGTTAGTATGTAGGTTTTTCACTGAGCAGGCATTACGACCGATGCTATTCGCACCACCAGTGCGATTAGCCGCTTAAGCTATTCTCACCAACATTAATCACGCATGCGCATTGAGTTGTCAGATCCGTCTATAGAACCCAATCGAAAGGAACGGATTCTACGCACGCGAACTGTTCTAGTGAACCTTTTTTTTTTTAAAAAAAAAGGCGGGTTTCTACCTTGGCGTAGTTTATCATTTTTTAAACGTTGGCGACTTTCAAAAGTTTACAAAGGGAAATGAGTTCCTTTTTTTTATAAAAAGAAGGAACACATTTCCTTTTATTAAAGTATATATTAAAAAAGGCAGATTTTTATGTTCGCAATGTTTATCCTTTTTCTGAACTGTTTGAATAGTTTAAATGACTGATTTGGGGTGTACAAAATTTTGTTTACATTTTTTGTACTTCTTAGAATACATTTAGCTTTAAAGATGTGTTTTGCGCAATCAAGACTTTAATTCATTCCTCTTTGAAAAATTTCGTCCGATAAAAGATACTAAAAATTAGTCAGAGGATTTGTGTGTAGAAAATTTAGACATGAAATAAGTTAAAAGCGATTATATCAACTATTAAATTAATTATTCTGTATGCCTGCTTATTTTTTTTTATGGAAATACTTGGCATTTTCAGAACACAAAAAGTGCTTCAATGAACTTTGAAATATTAGTACAAACACATTAATCAATTAAATTGAAATAAATAATGGGATGTAATTTAAAAGATAGAAATAATTTAATGTAAGAGATTTTGATTTAAAAATTGGCACACACAAATGATTTATCATATTTTGTATGGTTTTATTTCATAAATAACTTTGATTTTGAAATATGGCATTTGAACCTGTGTGGATTGAAACCTGTGTGGATACTAAAAAAGTGATGAATATATAAGAATATTATCATTTTCAGTAAGTTTTCTTATTGAATAATAAATTCTGATAGTCCTATGCTATAAGAATAGGGTCTAAGTTTGCATAAAAATTCCTCTTTTAAATAAAAGAATTTAAGTAATTTCTGTAGCCTTTTTGTCAATACACTAAAGATTTTTTAACTAATTACTCGTCCTCGCTTGCAATTAGAACCATCATTAAATCCCTATTTTATCTAATCATTTCCTGAACATTATCATGTATATAGATTGACCTCGTCTTTGTAATTGATAATTAGTACTTGCAAATTATTCTCTTGCTGGTGAACTATTAACAACCCTTTCTATTGCTGAATTAGGGTTAACAACCTTCGCTCTCACTACCGCCTGCCTTACGGAAATCGGCGTAAAACCAAACCAAAGAATATGTATATACATACATACTTTCTTTGATTTCTCTTTGCTAGGTACTTTTCCGTTTTGCCGGCGCAAGCGATAAAGTCGCCAATAATGGTACAACCGATGCCAAACGGAATATTCTCGCTGGTAACCTTTTAAGCCTCATTTCAAAACAAGTCGCAGCTTTTTCTTATCAGATTGATTGTTTCTTTCAATACTGGCATATAATTACATAGAATTTTTATCAGATAGTTCAGTTTTATGTCTAAGGCCATTTTCGGTAATTAAGTCAATCAGGATGCAATCACAGCGCTTAACCCGAAGCCGAAAATATAGAAAAGGTAAAGTCAAGTGTTAAATTCATCAATTCTAACGAGAATGCATTAGCAAAGTAAAGCACTGCAGTTTTACATAATTTCTGAGTAAGCTATTCGTACGAATTGAAATATTTCTTGCATTTAAACTTGTGTTCCAAATTAAGATTTAACTTGAAATTAATGTAGATAATTACTGAGAGCATTAGATTTTTGTAGAGTAGTTTACGTGAGATGAGATCGCTTGGTGTCACGTGATATAAACCGACGAATCCGGATGTTGAACCATGAAGCATAGTAAATTCTTAAATTAATGTCTTTTTACAAATTTATTGTCTTTATTTATTGGCTTTTTATAAAATTTTAAGCGATATTAAAATGTTTATGCCTTCGAAAAAGGAATTCTTAGAACTAACATTTTTTTAATATTTTTTATGTGTATACTGTATGTTGTCGCCAATAAAGTCTGCTTGGCGAGATTTGCGCCGGCGAAACGGAAAAGTACCCTTTGCTACATTCTTTGGTAAAACGGTGGTACCTGGGCTGATTGTGCGCATGCGCGAACGTAGGTGGTGTGAATAGCCTGTTAGCTATTCGCACCGTCGGTGCGATTACCCACTGCGCAGGCATTACTCCGTTTGGTTTTTCGCTAAGGTCGGAAGCCTCCTCAGTGGCGTTATGAGGTGCTAAAACGTCAAAGAAGAAATGTTTTGTCAGAGAACGTTTCTTCTTAACCACGTGTTCCTCAGTTTCTGCACACATGGCGGAGGGGGAATTCTCGCCGCCAGGTTCCGTCGCCAAATCCCTTAACGAATTTTCCCTCCACTTTCCAGCAACCTTTCCTTCTTTGGCTATTCTTCAGAATTCAGGGGGGGGAGGAGAACAACTTCGTTTTGTCATCTGCATGGTGCCAAGACTTTTGCCAAGGACAGACGCAGTCTTGCTTCCTCACTGGGGGAACGGTGTAAACACCAGAGTAGCTGGGCCAAAGAATATGTAATGTTAAAGAAGGAAAACTTATCCGCAGCAGGAGTCTTTCCGAACGTAGAGAAAAACAGCTGCGCATGCGCGAAATATCTGTTGCCAAAGCTCTAAGCGGCGTCGAAGTTCGAAGGTGACGTTTATCAAGAGTTCATAAAAGAAATATCGTTTTAAATTTCTTTAAATTTTAAAGAAAAAGAAAATATTTTTCCGCTCAAGTAAATTAATTAATGGATTAATTATTTCGAGGAAAGAAAGTACGTAAATCCGATTATAAATTATCGCGAAACGTCAAAGAAGAAACGTTTTGTCAGAGATCGTTTCTTCTTAACACGTGTTCCTCAATTTCCTGTACACATGGCGGAGAGGGAAATTCTCTGCGGCAGGTTCCGTCGCCAAATCCCTTGGCGAATTTCCCCTCCTCTTTTTAGCGGCGTAATAGCAAACTGTTTTACATTACGCATATGGAATCTTTCTTTACATAGACGTTCTTTGGCTGGGCCTACGGAGCTAAGAATATCTAAGGAATATTCTCCTTAGAGAATACATTAATCCATTGGTACATATTCTTTATGAATATCTAAGTATGGCTTGCTGTTCAGGGATTGTTCTGCCTGGGACGTGTAAACTTTGGGAAGGAGGGCAATGTTATGAGTTTTATATATAGATAAATAATTTTACT